AAACACTGATTACTTTAACAGTGTGGGATCTCTGATACACAACATGCTTCTTCTTGCAACTTAAAAGGAATATACATATGTAGCAATTCAACTTAGACGATTTGCTGATATGGAAGTTGTTCAATAAAGTAATAAATTCACCATCTGTTCCTCTTTAACAAATCCATTCCTCAAAACCACAGTGTGTTTACACACCATGGCTTGTGCCCTGGAATGCAGCAATAACCAAATCATTTTCTGTTGCCATAGTTTCATTCCATATAGGCCTAAACCACATAAGTCCACATATGATTGGTTCTGGCAGTATCCCACTGGACAATGGTTTTAATCAACATGTTCACTTTGACAGTGGGATGGGTAGAAGGAAACTTTGAGATGGATAAGTGATTATCATTGTGGCCATCTGAAGATTTCCATTACTGGTTGAAGTTGCATTTCTGCTGAAGGAATGGCAGGCATTAGGACAGAAGAAGGTGAAAGTAGTCAAATGATTGACTTCTGATGGGGATTTATAACTACCTGCTGGATTTGTAAAGCTTAATTCAGAGGCATGTTAACTGACTTGCAAGACTTTTCCAAAGAAATCAAACTCCACTCGGGAAATTTGTTGAAAATTGAATCTAACAACATTTTAATGATGACAGAGTATGTTGAAAAGAGAATCTGGTAAATTTCTAATGGAGTAGTGGTTCACGTCACTGATGATGATGACACACTCATTCGTCCGGTTGTATGTGATCAGGATCAACAAGGTGTGGTGACTGAACTGGCACCACTCCTTTTGCATACTGATGATACTGACCATTCCGAGAACTTCAATTTAGGGCTTTCTGTAAGTTTAAATCACATAACTGGTTGTCCAAGAAGTTTTCTTCTATCATGTTTGCATTACTAATGAACTATTAGAAAATTGGAGTATCAGACGTTGAAATGCTGTGGGAATCCAGTAATGTCCATGTTTTTTTTTTCCAGTTTTATATCAGTTTTCTACTAAAGCCCTGAAGAAGTAGAGTACTCCTAAGTAGGAATTGTATCCACATACCAGACTGCATCGTGTCATGACCGAGAAGACTGCTATAATGTAACGTGTATAGGTGTTTCTGTGCAACAGTTGCAAGAAGGAATATGGCTTGCTTGGTAACGGGAGGTAAACGCATCAACAGTACCAAATCAATTGCTAAGCGACTCCTCAGTAAATAGTTTCCCGCAGCAACAGACATGCACTCAACAATAGAAGAATGGGGGTTATGTAACCCGTTTCTAAGCAAGGGTTGAGGTATTGTTGGACTATAATGATGAAAATGTGTTTTCTATGTGGTCCGTGCTGAAATGTTATAAGCAGGACAATTCAAAGCAACAAGTTAGACCCTGTGGAGGCGGATTCGAATACCTCCACTGTAGTCCTGCAAGTTGTAGTAGGCGATGGAAAGGGAGCCCAGTGTCTGGGGGTATAACTGGGCCATCCTGCTTATAGGAGGTATAAATATGGGGACTTGGCCCTCCAGGTTGGAGGAGTCTTGAATGTGAGAGAGTAAAACATGGTCATGAGTCCCCCGGGCCTTGGACCCGAGAATGACTGCGCCGGTGAGAAACGGCAAAAGTTGTATGACCGCAGGGGTTGAGTTGGGGAAAAAATTGCTGGTCATGAAACTCGTGAGGCTTGGCGCCAAGAAAAACTGATTGGCGGTAAACCGCCAGCCGTAAAGTGACTTGGACTATGACAACGAGTTAGTTGTTGGTTAGTGGTGTCAGCAGTTCAGTTGAATGAAGTGATAGATTTCAGTTGTCAATTGTCAGTTGAAAGTCAGCATGTGAAGAGGAGACTTGGAAGTTGGTGTGAAATGGCAGCCAGCCTGGGATCAAATTAGTCGAGGGCTGTCAGATGACAAAGAGCTCTGCACAGGAAGCTGAACAATCTCCCTTGGTACAAGCCGTTGCTAGGAAACGGCTAGTGGAGACTGTAATAGACTGAGGACACTAGAGTGTATGTCAGTGGACTGTAAAGTGCAGTTCCCACTGGTGTATGCAAGTGATCAATAAATCCAATATCTAATCCATACCCCACCTATAGTCAAGCACACCCCCAAACATGTGACAATGTAAACTGTTTTATATTTGTGAGATTTTATTTATTCATAGCAGTATGAAATAACTAAACATTTCGGTGGAATCTGCTGCCTAGACTTTAAAGAACCATAGTTGTGAAATCAGTCCCAGACCACACATTCAGTAGATTAAAATACTTGTAGTCACACGTCACGTCATGAAGATAACTGCATACCAGCATTGTTATGAAATAATAAAATCGGCTGGAAAATATTGCAAAATATCATAAAGAAATTTGGCGCCAAAATGGATGAAATGAGCGAAATAACTAAAATAATTAAGGGGATACAAGAAACCACCAAAATACATGTTACTACTTGGGATGTGAACCGGAGAGGTTTGACTGGTGATTGGTTCAGAACGAGTACTTTCATAACATTCGGAAAAGAGGAATACCAACACTGTGACTATTATTCTATTGGCCGTTAGTATACACAATCCCGTAAAATTGGAATTTTGCTTTATTATTGTTTATAATTATTTTCGCATTTGTAGCAGACAAGAGACATACACTTCTTCCAGAATTCGTGCAAAAGTTACATCATTTCCTTTGGTTGAATAATTTCTGAGTTGTGGACATTTATATAGTTGGGCAATTACAGTTCCTTAGATTGTAAGATCGACGCTCCTTTTCGATTATTTACAGCTGCTAAATGTGTCATACACATTTGTATATTCTAATGTTTGTGAAATGTAAAATTATCTATGTTGCCAAATTGCAATGGTTACAGTATCCAAGCAAGTTAAATGGGGATAATCTGAACAATATAAGATGTGAAACCAGCAGGCATTTCAGGAACAAAAAGAGGGAATATCTGAAAGACAAAATTGATGAGCTTGCAATGAACAGTAAGAACAAGAACATTAGAGACCTGTATAGAGGAATAAATGACTTTAAGAGGAGTTACCAGCCTAGCAGTAACTTAGTGAAGGATGAGAATGGTGATCTGCTTGCAGATTCCCACAACATTTTGAATAGGAGGAGGAACTACTTCTCTCAGTTATTGAATGTACATAGGGTCAGTGCTGTTAGGCAAACAGAAATCCATACAGCTGAGCCGTTAATACCTGATCCTAGCCTGTTTGAGTTTGAAAGTGCTGTTGCAAAATTGAAACAGTATAAATCGCCAGGTAGTGATCAAATTGTGGCAGAACTAATTCAAGCAGGAGGAGAAATATTATGTTCTAAGATCCACAATCTAATTACTTCTATTTGGCATAAGGAAAAATTGCTTGATCAGTGGAAGGAGTCTATTATTGTACCAGTGCACAAGAAGGGTGATGAAACTGATTGTAGTAATTATCGGGGGACATCACTGTTATCAACTTCATGTAAAATTTTGTCCAATATTCTTCTTTCAAGGTTAAGTCCATATATAGATGAAATTATTGGGGATAATCAGTGTGGGTTTTGACATAACAGATCAACTACAGATCAGATCTTTTGCATTCGTCAGATATTGGAGAAAAAATGGGACTACGATGAGAAAGTACATCAGCTATTCAGAGACTTCAAGAAAGCCTATGATTCAGTTAGGAGGGAAGTATTGTACAATATTCTAATAGAGTTCGGGATACCCATGAAATTAGTTAGGTTGATTAAAATGTGTTTAAACGAAACGTAGAGTAAAGTCTGTGTAGGTAAACATTTGTTTGATAAATTGCATATCCAGAATGGTCTAAAACAAGGAGATGCTTTATCGCCACTCCTTTTCAACTTTGCCTTAAAATATGTAATTAGGAAGGTCCAGGGAAACCAGGTGGGACTGAAATTAAATGGGACACGTCAGCTGTTGGTCTCTGCTGATGTTGTGAATCTACTGGGTGATAATGTAGATACCATAAAGAAAAACACACAAACTGTAATTGACACAAGAGGTTGGTCTAGAAGTAAACACAGAGAAAACTAAATATATGTTACTGTCTCGTCACCAAAATGCAGGGCAAAATCATGACATAAAGATAGGAAACAGATGTTTTGAAAATGTGACACAGTTCAGATATTTGGGAACAACGATAACAGATCGAAACCTGATTCGGGAGGAAATTAAGAGGTGATTGAACTCGGGCAATGCTTGCTACCATTCAGTCCAGAACCTTTTGTCTTCTCGTCTGTTGTCCGAAACATAAAAATTAGAATATACAAAACTATAATTTTGCCTGTGGTTCTGTGTGGGTGTGAAACTTGGTCTCTGACATTAAGGGAGGAACATAGAGTGAGGGTGTTTGAGAACAGGGTGTTGAGAATATTTGGACTGAAGAGAGATGAAGTGACAGGAGGTTTAAGAAAACTGCATAATGAGGAGCTTCATAACCTGTACTCTTCTCCAAGTATAATTAGAATGATCAAGTCAAGGAGGATAAGGTGGGCAGGTCATGTAGCACGAATGGCGGAGACGAATGTGTATAGGAAAGAGACCACAGGGACGACCAAGGCGTATGTGGATGGACAATATTAGAATGGATCTTGGAGAGATAGGATGGGATGGTATGGATTGGATAGATCTGGCTCAGGATATGGACTAGTGGAGAGCTCTTGTGAGTATGGTATAGAACCTTCGGGTTCCAAAAAATGCTGGGAAATTGTTGAGTAGCTGCATAATTGGCTGCTCCTCCAGAAGGGCTCAGCTCCATGAGTAAGAAAGTAAGTAAGTAAATGATCTATGTTAAATCAGTTATTCAAGCAGTGTCTAGTTGATCCTAGACCACTAGAAACTACGAAATAATGGATACAGTAGAAAGTAATATGTCTGTTCTGTATTCTGTGCCTCAGCTTAACCGTGATTATGCCATCTGGCACTAGTACTAACAACGACGTCATGTTGCTGCTTTGAGGTCTCTGTGGATTATCGCAAGAAAGCGTTCAAGTTGTGCAAGTTCCACAAGTTTAACGATAGGAGAAGGTGGTGGTGGGGTTGTAGGTTAATCGTGGCCAAATATTACAAAAAATGTTACGATTTACGAAGAAATATAACACATAGAAGGTAACCATCATACGATTGAACAACAGAGGTTTTAACAATATAATAAAACCACGTCATAAAGTTCACTGTGAATTGAGTAGGGGAATGACTTTTGGCGCTGGCTCATCCTGGGCCTTTTGTTTGACTATCCAGGCAATATGGCGCCTGACCGTTTCATCGTGGTAAGATTGAAGTGTTTATTCCTTACAGTGAATTGTTTTACAGTATTACGTTGTTTTATAACAGTATTTGCAGTATCGTTAATCGTAGTGAGTGGAATATATTTCGAACGTTGAGGTGGCTTTGTAGTGTACGACGACCGTGCTCGAGTAATCTGTTGTAATTTGTGTCAACGTTCTAGAAATGTAGTATTGTTTAAGCTGGAATTTTGGAATACGTATAATGTCGATAAGTTTTATTCAAATGTGGGGTACGCCTTTTAGCACAATATGAAACATGTAACGTTCAGCGAAAAACGGTGACCATTGTCGGGAATTGAACCCTCAAGTCAATCTCCAGGGTCATCTATAGGCCTTCGTTGTTAGTATGATTACGTTTTAAACGGGCAAGGTTTTGTGCAGAAAAAAGAGAAGGAAACGTGTAATTTGATGTAGTTTAATTGTAAGCACATAAGTAGGACAACAATTTTTTTTGTACAGCATAGTCATGCCATTTTGACTAAAGGAGGTTGGCAGTAATTACCCATAGTTTTAAGTAGTTTTATTGACACTGCAACTTCAGTGGAAGAGAGAGTTAATGTTTACTAGCGACAAGTTTCAACTTGAAGTAGGATTAGAGTAGTGTTCAATGTCTCACATGTGATACCAGAATGTCCAAATGGCCCATAACCTAGAATTAGCGGCCTTATATACTGTGTTCCTGGTATAGTGCAATATCATTTGACCTTAGGTTTATAATACCAAGTTGGACATTATATGATGTATATATTATTATAATTGACTTTTGTGAACGAAATGGATTGATTGTTACCAACACTTGGNTGATTATATGATGATGATGTCGGTATAGTTCGCTTGCGGACTACAGGCCATGGATTTAGATTTTTTATGACGTACATTTTTTAAATTGTTTCAAAATGCAGTCTTGGAGATGACTCATGAGAGCGTTACTGGTAGGATTTTTGGGCGTGGAAAGTTAACATGTTTAAAAGACTATATGTAGGTTGTGCCAGGTTAATGTAATATGCATGGCCACCTGTCCCCCGACTAGTGAAATTGTAAGCACTGTGCAGAGTAATTTGGCTGATGAAGAGCACTGTCTTCTGGGATGGGAGACTGTTCAGTTTGGTAGGAGTTTACTGATGTTTTGAAGGAGTGTTAGCACATTTCAGAGGTCTGTAGTCTTCATAACACTGTTAGAGCCTGAAATCTGACATAAACTAAACTCATATTTAAAGAGAGATGTGTTAATTGTTTCTTTAAACTTTCTGAAATAGTGTGAAAGTTGAAATATTGAACATGAATTTTAGACAATGATGAGAATGACGATATGATAGTACAGAGATTTTAGATAGGAAGGAATTTAGCACCTCTATGAATGCTGCAGATATTTTGATTGTGATTACTGTACACTTGCTGATACAATGATGGACCATTTGTGCAGAGTGTGTGTAATATTGAAGGTTCTACTTCCCCAGTCTGTGTCTTATGTATGAGTTCATCATTCTTGCAATGAGGTAAATGATTCAGTAGTGAGTTCTCATAGTTTAATCCTCAGTACACAAGAAAATTTATAGAAAGTTATACAGGATATTTTCATGGAATGTCATGTTATAAAATACTAAAGATAGCTTTTATGGCTGAAACCTCCAACTGATCACAGTTAGAGATTGTACCTTGCAAATTGTTGAGATGCTATGTGCAAGGAAATGGTGTTGTACTTGGACCTGCATCCGCAGCCATAAAATAACAGTTCACGAGTAAATAACCAAATAAAGCATCAAAAATTCACTTTTGTGATTTAGTTGCTGTGAAATATGCAAGATGGAGTTATGGATCCACAGCTGCCATTCATAAGTGATGAGTCTTGGTTTTCTTCAGCCAGATTGTAAAGTATGTGTATATGGGTGAAGAAAATCCTCAGATCACTCAATAATTGCTGTTACACAGTGTAAAAATGGGGGTGTGTGTTGTAAGTGTGCCACCAATCATTGGCTCAGTATTTTTCCAGGGAAGTGTGAGTTCAAATTGGTATGTGAGAGTTATATTGACTCCCTTCTTTAATCAGTTGGCTGCAGAAGGAAGACATTGTGGGTACTTTTCAGCAAATAATGCTGCAGTATATACTGCTGGCAAGTCCTTAGCCAATATAAGCGAGGCATTTTAGAACCAGTCAGCAAATGACTGTAGCCATCTAGATATCCTAACCCCCCNCTCCGGCACTACAGCCCCAGTGGGCCTAGGCCTACCTCCATGAACTTCTTCGTTCACTTTGGTATCCTAAACTTAGTTACCATAATTATTATCTCAGTTGGAATCTCGAGAGAATATTTATAATAATAACCCTTGTAATGTCAGTATTTTCCAGAATGCAATAAAGTGTAATTGTAACTAGGACTTTTATTTTGGACTTTGTACATTGCCTGGAGTGTATTCATAACCACAATGTTTTGGAAACCGATTCTGTTTCTGTCATTAGGTGTAAGGGGAATAAAGTTCCTACCCAATGACTCATTTGGTTTGAAGTTGCCAAATAGTTGATTATAGGTGTATAAGAATTTTTTTTTACTGTAGACATCATTCAAGCCAGTGGTTCTTAATTTGGGTTGCAAGACATTCCATATATTTTAGAAGGTAAATTGTTAAGAAAAATTAAGTAGAGGCATGTGTTAAATACAACTACTTTGTTTCATCAATCATTTGCATTTATTAATATTTACTTTTTTAATAAGGTAAAGCTATCCCTGTAAGAGGCCATGGAGGCCCATGTGGTTGTGAGGCATTGAGGGTCCCACACTATCTAGACAGTCAGCTCACAGATGGCGGTAAGATTGTCAGCCTTATGCGCCAGCTGCTCTTTACCCCCAAGGAAGATTCCTGGTACTCATTTCTGTTAAGAGGCTGAGCTGACCCCAGGCGATAGTATAGCTGAAAGGATTAGGTCGAGTGAAAAAAATCCACCTCATTGGAACTTGAACCCTTGAACTTTGGGCTTGTAGAATAGTGCCTCAACCAACTATGCTACTGTGTACCTCCCTTACATTATAATGATTACTGTAATGTACTAACAAAAAATATATTTAGGTTTAAAGAACTGACCTACTTCAACAATTTTTGGTACAGGGTGTGGAACTGTATTTTGAGAAACGAAGAGGTGCTAGCTGCAGTAAAGATTAAGAAACACCACTTCAAGCAAATACCAGTTTATTTTATTTTTAATTATAAGTGTTCTGTAGCTAAATCTATTTATCAGACATTTTCTTTTATTGCTGACACTTCATTCCTGTACAGAAGTGGTGGAGGGGTTTGTATTCAGGAACATGGGCTTGTGTTCATGTAGGTTCTTCATTCTCATCCCCAACTTTACATCATTCCTGTTTTATACTGGTCAATGAATATGAAATGTTTCTGTTTATCATCTGCAAGGGATGAGCTTGCTAGCCCATTCCATTCTCACACAGTGGGCAATACTCATGACCTTCCAAGATTATGTCTTCGTTTCGGTTAATAATATGAAAGTTGCTTGGGACCTGTACCTGGTGGTGTCCTCTGTAGATGTTCCAGCCAATTTTTGTACCTGTAGTTGTTTGTTCAACTTCCTCATTCCTATTGTTGACCTTATTTCATCGACCCTTTTCTTGTCCCATAGAATAGAACCTGCAGCATGCTGTAAAAATTACATCTCTCTTGCTGAAAGTCATCTTTCATCTGTCCTGAGAAGCCATGTTTCACTGCCATACACCAGGTGTGGCAATATCATGGTTTTATATAATTTTAACTGTTTATCTTTCCTTGTGTTGTGTCACAGAGGCTTCTCTTTTCTTGCAGTATTTCCCTTTTGATATCAGCTCTTTGCTTTCTTCTCGATTTCTTCTGGTACATTGTTTAACCATCTTGTTCTTGTAATTGGTAGGTCCATGTGTCATTCCCTTACATTTTGGTTCTAAGGCCTTTGGTATCCTTGTTTTGAAAATTCTTTCTGCATGGCCTAACAGTAATAACTGATGTATTTTGACTCCGTTAACACATTTTAAGTCCCACTTTTGTCCCTAAAAATATAATTTCTAATTCCAATTCCTGTTTTTTTCATCAGAACTTCTCAGAAATGTCATATCAAGTTGCTTGGGTGTTGCTTGTAATATAATAATAATGAGTACCTTTTTATATGTCATGTTCATGCTCTTGCAGAGTGTATTGAAAATAAAACATAAGACCAACAGGTAACTGTTTTCAGTTGGATTGCTGAAGTTATTATACCTCTATGGGCACCAGTACAACATTGTGAGAAACACTGCTTAGAGTGCTGTTTTGTATTGTCTTGGGATCTCTCTGTCTCATATGTTTTGTTTATAACTTGATATAATTTGGTTCTGTTGTGTATTGGATTGCCCATCATTTTTTTTCCTAATTTATTTCAGTACCCAAAACTTTTATTCTGATGTTGGCATCATGATTTCTTGAAGTTCTTTTCATTATCATCTTTCATATTTATTTTGAGCCTGTATATCTTTTTTTATAAGGTTCCATTACTTTAGTTTCTCTTCAGATATCTTTTTATATTTTTTTAATATCAGCACAACATATGCAAGTATTGTTTTCTTGTCAGGTCTCTTGTTCTGTCCTCTAAATTTATTGGCAATTTCATCTGTTACAATATTGTGCAAGATTGACTGAGGACATTTCCTTTGTTCACTGGATCACTTGTTTTTGACCATCCTGCTTCTGCTGATTTTGTATTAACATCATTTATACAATCCTTGTATGTTAGCTTTATTCTTCCTATAAGATACTCTGGTACTTTTGAGCATTTCTAAACCAAATCTTTTCTCTCTCTATCCTCCCAAATGGTGTATAAAACTATACATATGATTACAGTAGCCTTGCAGTGTTCACTGTGTTTATTAATTACTTGGAGGGGCTACTAAATACAGGTCCTACACATGTGACTAAAATAAGAAGAGAAGTGAGTATGATTGGAACGTTTCCCAATGTGTTAACAAAATTACTGATTTTACATTTATTGTCAAGATGCTTAGCCGTATTTGATGGAGGTAAAATTGTTTACAGATCTGAGATTTTCACAGTGATGAAGGTTTAGCTCTTGGATGTGTTGTGTTTTGATGCTTTTTAATCCTGTGTGTGGTTACAGACATTTGTAGGAACTTACCGCCTTCATCTGCATGGTAAATGTTAGTAGTGATGGGATGGGGGGGGGGCATGCGGTAGCGTAGTGGTTGAGGCACTATGCTACAAGCCGGAAGGTCACAGGTTCAAGTCCTGATGAGGTCATTGGATTTTTTACAGTTGACCTAATCCTTCCAGCCGCACTATGGCCCTAGGGTTCACTCAGCCTCTAACAGAAATGAGTACCAGGAATTAAATAATTTTCCTGGGGAGTAAAGCATGGCCGGCATGTAAGGCTGACAACCTTACCGCCATCTTTGAGCTGATTGTCTAGTTAATGTGGGACCCTCAACGTCTCACAACCCTATGGGCCTTCAAGGCCTGGTACAGGGATGGCTTTACTTTTTTACTTACTTAGTGATGGGATGTGGTGGGTTATATATGAAGATGGGGACATCAGTTTCCTCCGAAACATTGGTAACCACCCACAAGACTAAACTGGGCATCACAATGTAGAAGACCACAGACTAAAATTGATACAGATTCTTATATATAAAAGGCTGATGCTTGCTGTTCTGTTATTATGTCTGTTAGGAATTATAGTTGATAGTAATTAATGAACAGAATATAATGTGGCATCAATAAATGGCTGTGGAGGGTGCATGCATGCCTGTGCTCACACGTCATCTATGAGGATTAGCCGTACAGTTGCTCTGACAACAAGCTTTTGAATCAGTATTAGCACTTCCATCTTGTGTTTATGTATGTGTGTTTGTAAATAAGGTACCTATGTAGTTTGACAAACCATAATGCTGTGATGTCAGTTTCACATGATTTTTGCTGAGTGCATTCATGTTTTCTTCATTACAGACATTTTGAAAACTGAAGAAGTGAAGTAAGGTGCTTGGTGAGTCACATGATTACTTCTGCACAATGAAGATAGATAGGAGCCGTTTAAAAAAGAGCACTTCTGAAGTGGTGAGTTTCCTTACTTTGTTAGTGAAGTAGACCTCATGACGTATACTCACAAAAATCATTTAGTTTAGTTTTTGAATCAACTTGTTACAGTAATATATCCGTCCTTATTAAATGCTCCAGTGCTTTTGTGTATGAATATTAAGGAACAGGATTCACACCACACACTGCAGTATAGCGAAGACTACTGCTAGCAAATGGGGGTTACATTGAATGAGAGGGTAGAATGACCAGCAGTCTCCAAGAAATTGGAGAATTTGGTAATGGATAAAAAATTATTGCACCATTAGATGGAACAGATGCTTAATTCTATCATCCCTTAGTAGGGAAAGAGAGCAAGGAAATTTTCTTCAGACATTGGTTCAGAATTTGTTGAATGTGTGTGCAAGGGTCCACCCTTCAGTCCACCCTCGGGAGGAAGGCAGGCCCATTGTATGGTGTGTCTTGAAGCTTGATACGCTGGTTACTGATCAGCTGCAGGATCACCTTTGCAGTGTCATGTGTGGTCAGCCAAGAAAAATATCAGATTTCAGCATTTCACATGTAAAATTAGCTTGTTTATAGATGTGTTTTTGTATTTGGCATATAAAAATAAACCTGTAAATCATATATCATCATAAATTTGGAAGGAAAACATTTCGAGGAATATAGTGCCATGTATTTTGATTTGTATGCATACAGTTTTGTTTCATTTCAGGAATCTATTAATTTCTTTGGAAAATGTGATTTTTGTAACAGTAAGAAATAACATTCTAGAATTTTGTATATTTTGGATATATTTTGGATATACACGTAGATCAAAATTTTCTTGGCCTTGGCACTAGTAGGAGGTGAGTGGTCAGCTTCAAGCCCCATATGCTTCATCCCTGGGAAAGCGCCCCCTGTACTCATTGCATAAGAGGTTTGGTGGACCCCAGAGCCGGTCTGGATGACTGGAGAAGTGAAAATTCTTGCCCCCAAGATTTGAACTCCGAACTAATGACAGTAGTCATTATATTGACTATATAGAGTGATACGAAATAGATACGAAATACAGAATGTTCTATTCGAGCTTGGAAAGAACATTTATTTCTTGACATATCCTCCTTGATATGCTTTATTGGTGTGTCAGAACCTGCAGCATGGAAGTCTTTTTGACTGTTATCTCAGCCACTTCCACACCTCTGTTTCATCTTCTTCATCATCATCATCGAAACATTTGCCGCCAAGGTGGGTTTTTAGCAGACAAAACAGATGGAAGTGATTAGGGGCCAGTTTTAAGGTTGCTGTTCAAGAAGTTCCCACAGTAGTTCTTGAATTCTCTTCTGGGTTGCTCAGGCTGTATGGGGTCTGGCATTGTTGTGATGAAGCAGTGCCCCTCTTGCCAGTTGGCCTGGACATTTTCTGTGAGTTTAATCCCAAAACTTCATCAGATTCAGAATTCACATTTTCACCATACATCTGAAAATGGGCTAACAGTACTTGCCGAGAATCCCAAAACGTGGTAAGCATAACCTTCCCAGGTGATGTCATGCTCGTAATGTTACAGTTTATGGTTGAAGGTGAACTGGGACATTTTCATTGCATTGAAGCACACTTGGATTTGGGTTGTTATTGATGCACCATGATTTGTCCCCAGTAACAGTCCTGTTAAGCATATCTTCTCCTTTATCTACATACCTTAAGGGATGTTGCAAGGACAGACCCATTTGGTTAATTTTTTTCTCAATCCTTCAATTTTATCAGCACCTGCTGTGCGCGCACTTTCCATAACAATCATGCATTGTGATGTATGCTAAACCATGCGAACACCCTAGTATACTTGCTACACTGTCTATCATTATGCTCCTGCCAGCTCAAATGAATTCTTCCACCTGCTGAACAGTTGCTTCTATTTCAGTCTGAACAGGGTGACATGGTTTGGCATCACCTCTGACTTTCGAGCGTCCTTGAGAGAATTTCTCAACCCAGTTGTGAATTGCTTTATGTGACTAACACTTCCTGCTGCAAACAGGAATCATTTCTTTATGAATATTCTTTGCATTGAGCCCTTTTGCTACAAAAAATAAAACAACAATGCTGCTCTTCTGTAGTACATCCTCAGGCACAGTTGCCATTTTGACTACAGAAACCAGTCTCTGATCTTGTGTGTGTCTGCTGCTTAGACTGTCATGAGGCTGGGCTTTGCTGCTACCTAATGATAAACATAGAATACCTATTATGTCCATTACACCTGTTTTACTTCCATTTGTGACCTATATACTGACTTTCCCTTATGGAATGTATAGAATGGGGATACCAGGAAGGACACTAGAGTTCAAATTTAGAAGTAGGAGACTCATATCTTGATCAAGAGCAAGATGGTTCAGCTTTGACATTAAAAGAAAGACAAAAATACTTGCAAGATATTGGAAAGGAAAGAATTATGGGAAGAAGGAAGTGGATAGAGATCTTTTACTCATGGACCAGTATACAAAGGAAACAATGTGAAAGGTAGAAGGGACATTAGAATTGTGAAGATTATGTTTGTGCCCTGGAGGAATTGATTGGTAGAACATTATATCTTCATTAATTTTGTGTTTTATTAGTATTTTCTACATTGGCTTCAATGGTGCATGGTATTTGAGTTTGATTCTAAGTTTAAGATCTTCTTTTGAATACACTGTTTTCAGATCCCCACTCATTACTTTGCCATGTTACTAAGTTATCCCCCCTCCCCCAGAATATTTAAACAAAATATCTTTTTTCAGCCGGTAGAATGCCAAGTCCTTATAGATAAACTTCGATCCTGTTCTCACAAAGAACTTCTAGAAGTACTGAAGACAATAGACACATGGACATTTGGCAAGTGTGAACTTTACCATTGGATTGACATTCTGGATATCAGTGATGCCATTCTGGAGGAGGCTGCCACACGGGTTGAGCCCTCCAGTTGGACTCTGGCATGTGATTTGCCTCAGAATGCTGAGGTGAGTACAAATTACAAATTTGATTAGCTGCTTCAACTGTTTCTGTCCATTAAATTTTTTTCCAAGAAAAGAAAGATTTCCAGGTTGACAAATGGATGATGTGACTCAGTTCAGATTCACTATAATGCTGGTATACTTTGTCTAAAATATGTTTTCTGGTATATAATACTTTGAGTGGGCTGTCTTACAGAAGAAATGTTCTGTGTGTTCATTGGGGTTTCCAGTATGGAGATTTTGGTTTACAGCATATGTTGGAAATTGAGCTTAATAACTGTAAGGATAATGTTACAGACTACATCAATGGCAAAGATTAAAAGTTCTCATAGTGGTTGTTATGAATGGACCTTTCTTCTGGAATATAACACCATGTAGTTTGTTGACTTTCAGTGGACTACACAGCTTTGTATTGCGGAAGATGGGTCTTTATCTGATGATGATGAAGCTACATCAGAATTGTTCAGATGTACTTTAATGTTTTTAGCTGTATATTATGCCAATACATTGATTTGCCTTTTTGAAACACCAGCATCTTCATTTGCCATTCAAGTCAATAATTAGGTAGCTAATGAGTTATGTAATTTTGATGACTCATTTTAATGGTGTCATATAGTAGGAATTTTCTGTTCCCTCTGTTAGGTCTGCTTTGTTTTTTCAGTGTTTGCTTATTCCTACTCTGGGTTTCAGTAGCATTTTTTATACCTGTAGAGTGTAGAGATGTAAGTTTCTTTCAGTTATAATTTCAGATTGAGGAAAGTGATCAAAATTTTATTCAGGGAGCCTATTTTCTAAAGCCTCACTTTACAAGTATAAATCTAAAGCTGGATGTGAACTGTCACCTGACTTTGTAGAAAATTTTCAGGGTTAGTATACATATATACTTCAGACCTGAATTCCAAAAAGTGTGATATGAGGGTGCTTGAATATCATCTTAGTATCCAGTCAGTCTCCACTACAAAAGAGGAAACCCAAAAAACCTAGGTACTGCAGACAGAAACTGTTGATGATGGAGAAGTGTTTCCTACAGAAATTACTGCCTGCAGCTGAAGAAGCGGATAATAAATGTGATATCAGTGAAATAGACTCAGAAATTCAAACACAGTGGGGAGAAAAATTGGACAGAAATGCAAAGTTGGAAATTTCATTTTGAGAAAAACAAAACAAGTAGGAAATAGTAAAGGAGAAAAGAATGTATTCCACACTAGGCTCACTTCCAGGTGGAGGAATAGAAAGTTAAATAGTTTGGCCAGAGAGCTCTACAGTTGTGTTGAGGTCACAGCAGGGAAAAGGGGCAGGAATGAAATGTTTCCAGTCCATAGAAGCATATGGGAAATCAGGAATGCTTATGCAAAAAAAGGATGAATATGGTGAATTTAAAGGAAGTGTATAAGTTATATCAGAAAACTAGGTGTTTCCAAGATTTCCATAGCTGTGCTTGCAACATCTTTTTAGAAGCAGAAGGAAGAGTGGCATATTCAGTTTGTGTATGTGTTGGCTGCCAGAACATTGTCCTTGTGAGTGGTGCTGAGCTGAAAGAAATCTCATAGAAGGCACATTATGAATACTGATATTGTAAGCTGTTATTATTTTGCCGTGTAAACTTTCATATATTTTTAATTATTGTACGAGTTTAAGAAATTTATTATATTTGTGATTTCAGGATAAAGAGTTGTTGCTTTGGGTCCTCCATTTCACAACACTTCTGATAGAGCACTCATTTTCAAGACATTTGTACAACTCAATGGAGCACCTGATAACACTGCTTTCGTCATGTGACATGAATGTTGTGCTTGGTGTGCTGAACTTGCTGTACATGTTCAGTAAGCGGAGCAATTTCATAACAAGGCTCAACAATGACAAGAGACAAGCACTGTTAAGTAGGCTGACACACCTGGCTGAGGTGAGTTACATACTCTGCACGACAGCAAATTGTATTCACCATATTCATGCATATGATTATCATTTGCTCATAGCAGTTGCATCTAAATCATAGCACAGAGTTAATACTCTACTGGGTTTCATGTTGAATGGGCACATTTTTTTATTATTGACACTGTATTGTATACATAAAAATACTTTGTAATCACATCATTACCAGTATTTTTGTTCTGCCTCTCTCTCTCTTTTTTTTTTTGAGAAATAGAGGAATTTGTAGAGCGAATGAATATTGGGCTCTGTAGAAAGTGTGTTCAGTTAATTAATGGCTGATGCATGATGAATGAAGAAGGGGGGCAATTGAAGGTCAGAAGTATGTTATGGCAAAAAGTGACAGGTTTCTTCTTGGATCACATTTGCTGAAAATTCATTGGATTCATGAATTGTAATAACTTTGGATGCAATATTGTCCACACATATTGTATGTGTACAACTTACAGGAAGAGCTGAAAAGATATTTCCTCTGAAAGGAGAAAGTGGAATTTGAGCCTTAGCCAACAAAGATGAGTAAGCTGGATCAGATTGCATATTTATCAGTTACATGAGAATTGTTAAATTAATAAAGTGTTTCTGTACAAGGACATTATTGATGTTTCCTCATTTTATAGGAAACCAGAGCGTTCAGGGCAGAACACCTACTTTCATGTTGCATAGATTTCTAATTGTACAGATCCATTTCTATTATTGTTTGATTTTATTTTTGTGAAGAATTTATTTGTTAAGTACAAATTTTGTTTACATTAAGTTTTGTCAAATATGATGTCAAAATTTTGCAGTCACCATGTTTGTAAATGTTGATTTACACAAAGCTTCAGTGGTTCATTAGCTATCACCATTAAACCAAAAGACAGAAAATTTTCGCATGACTACCATGTTGGTATTTTACACTTCACAGAATTACCTTATCGATAGCTGTATGGATTTTGAAGGTGTATTACTATACATCTTTCACTTCAGAAGTTTGTTCTTCTGTCATGTTTTTATTAATAATTATAGGAAATTACAGAGTATGATGTTAAGATGGCTTTAAGTGACATCAGATTTTGTGAAAGTGGTTTTGACATTGGAATGGGTACACAGACACCCATGCAGTGGAGTGGTCTCATGAGCTTACTTTTTTAACTTAAGGATGGGAAGTGGTTAAGAATTAAGTTATTCCAGATGAAACTGAATTTATGGGTAGCAATGCCAAAATTTGTTGGAAATTTAAGGTCATTTGCTCAGTTTGAACATTGAGCATATTTAATAGGTATGCCAAACAAACGGCTTTCACGTTTCGTGTTGGAGATGTGCAACAAGGTAGATTTATTGAAAAGATAATGTACTCACAAAGTCTAAATTTTCTACCCTATCATCAATTCATATCTTGGGTTGCAGGCTTGTGGAATGTGTGTATCCAAGACTTACGAACATTGTTTTGAAAATTCTTGTCCCTTGACCATCTATTGATGAATGTAAAATAGGTTTTTCAAGTTTGTTTCAAATAAAAGCAACAGAATAGACTTATGGTGGAAGACAAGTCTGCATTTCACATTTGCTACCATAGCTGAGTAATTTAAGAAATTGACGGAATTAAAACAAGCTCAATGTTCCTACTAGTTTCCTTTTTCCATGAACAAAGGCTTCACAAATTCTCTTCCTGCTGTTTACAGAAACTTATTTTGTAAGACATAATATAAAAACCAGCTCATAATTTAACTAATGATGAAAATGTCTTTTATTTATTTATCTATTTTTTTATTTATTTTTTTATTTATTTATTTTTTTTCCTCCCTTTTTAGAGTTGGGGTGGCAAAGAAAATGGATTTGGTTTGGCAGATTGCTGCAAGGATGTGTCTGCGGCGGTGAGTTTAAAGAAGTATTTATGTTAAATGATAGTAATTTTCTTATAAAATATAAAACTTCCAGCATGCATGACAATTAATTGAAATGTAATGAGTTCTGTAACTAGTGAACTGCACTTTTAGTACAGGGTGGAGCAGAGGAAACGCATGTTTCTCACATAAGAATAACTGTTGATTTTCAAGATAAAATCTTTTTAATTACACAAAAAAGAAGGTATTTTAATGCATTTCTGACTTACATTACGTACAGAAAATAATGTCAGTCAGATGACGTCCTTGCTGGACACATTTGGAGCCCCTCCTCAAAATTCTGCATCATATTCTCCAACATGTCTTCCAGTACAGCTGTGATTTCTTGACGAATTGGAAGTTTCAGCTCTTGGATCATTCGTGGTCTGTTCATGTACACTCTTGCCTTGAGGTATCCCCACAAAAAGAAGTCACAAACCGATAGATCATGGGAGCACGGGGGCCAAGAAAGATCACCGAAACAGGAGATCACATGTTGGGGGAACATGTGTGGCAGCATCCTGTTGGAACCGCATTTGTCTCATGTTTACCCAGAGATCTGGATGCAACATCAATGGAAGTTTTTTGACACATGTTCCCCCAACATGTGATCTCCCATTTTGGTGATGTTTCTTGGCCACCACACTCCCCTGATCTATCGGTTTGTGACTTTTGTGGGTATGCCTGAAGGCAAGAGTGTACACGAACAGACCATGAATGACTCAAGAGCTGAAACTTTCCATTCGTCAGAAAATTGCAGCTGTGCCGGAAGACATGGTGGAGAATGCGATGCAGAATTTTGAGGAGAGGCTCCAAATGTGTGTCCAGCAAGGACATCATCTGACTGACATTATTTTCCGTATGTAATGTAAGTTAAAAATACATTAAAATACCTTCTTTTTTGTGTAATTAAAAAGGTTTTATCTTGAAAATCAACGAAGTTCTTCTTATGTGAAAAACATGTTTTTCCTCTGCTCCACTCTGTATATAGTAGTGTTCTTGTGATTGTTAAAATGGAATGGCAGACAACTCAAACATTAAATTGGGATATCACTATGTTTATATTTACATTAAATACATTGAAGTGAAAGGGGTGTGCAGTATGGTAAAAATGCATTTGGAAAGTGAAGACACCTTGTGACAGTCCTAACCTTTTACAACTCTTCAAGGGACGCTATGGTCCTCTTTAGCCATTTCAGTAGAGTGACTGATTTATTGGGGAGACCGATTCATTAGCATGTTATGACTTGCTTTTTGCATCTGGACAGAAACAACTGCCTTGTTTTGTTACCTGCAGCTTGGGTGACTGGAAAAGGGACGAGGCCACCACGGGAGGCAAGTCTATAGTTTGCCGAAGATGTAAATTTTGTTTTGCTGATAGTGTAGCTGTTATAAAAGTGTCTTCGGAAGGGTGTAATTGGACCCTAAACTAAGAAATAACTGCTTTCACATGTGGGATACCGGGTTTTTATCTTTGGATCTCTTTATTCTCAAAGTTCGTTATGTGATTGTCTAGTGCTGATTGCATGATGGATTTAGCCAGTTAAAATTAGCCAATAGGAAACTATTCTTCTCTGGGAGAGAGGCAGTTGATTCAAATCCTATACAGGGGATGAAGCGACGCTCACGCAGGATAGAGTTTGCAGAAGGACTTGGCGTTTTGAATTCATTGGAGGCAGACGTCATTGGGCTGCACTCTCCAAGTTTATCTAAATTGACCAGTCTTTATTTGGTTTATTAATCTTTGATAGTAATAAAAGAGCACATTACTCTGTACTTGCTAATGAAGTTATAGTATTTCGCTTCTGAATAAACAATTTGTGGAGAGCAGAAATAGCGTCGTTGATTTCTAGCAGTGGACTGGCTTTAAATGTGCAGTTTTCCCGTTGCCTCAGTTATTACCGTAACACGATCCTGATAAAGAGTCAAGTGATTTACCGAAGCCGGCAAATAAAGACAAAGATAAAAAGGGGACGGTTACAAGCTGTCCGGTCTTGCTTCACACCAAATGATTTTTGTCTTCATTAACTAGAATGATTGGTGCAGCAATGATCTTTCCAATTACAGATATACTTGTTATATTTTATTTCTTAGCATTTCCCACCAAGTTCAACTACGTTGCATTTTGAGTATTACTCAGAAGTGTCTGAAAGTACACTAGTTTCTGGAAAGGGAAAGTACTCTAACCTGATAACTAGCATCCACATGGAGAGTGTAGACAAGATGAACAAAACCCCAGCAATGATCATGAATGAGCTACTTGAGCAGTACAGTGTACCTGCTGATAAACAGGTGAGTAGAACTTCTCCTTTGTTTATTCATAGCAGTCTTATTCTTTGTAACATGATCAAGTGACCATAACAAATTTGTTCCAGATGCAACTTTTCACACATATACGATTGGCCCACTGTTTCTCAAACCGTCGACTTCGTCTTCTGTGTGTTCAAGCCAGACTTCAAGCTCTGTCTGTACTTGTGTATTCAAATGCTCTGGCAGAGAATGCCCATGCACTTCTCTATTCAGGCATTTTGGAGGAATTGGTAGAACTGTTAGAAATGCCCAGCCCTAACCTAGTAGAGATTCGAGCAGCTGCTCTGCGTACTTTAACATCTGTAATTCATCTAGACCGGAATCCACACCTCCCTAAGTGAGTCATACATGTATTTATCATGGGACAGTTGTCCCCAACATTTTTTACTGTAATGTCAAAATGACAGTTTTAACAGGACCTGCCAAGGTACGGACTTAAATTTCTGGGCATCTTTTATTATTAAGAAAAGATGTATATTGTTCCCATTGCATCCTTGCTGAAGATCATCACAATTCAAATTTATATTGGGAACTACTGTTTTAATATGTACCTAGAAACATATGATGGTTCATGTATTGTCAAATCATTAGGGCAATAAGAAATATGATTTTGATTGTTGCAGAAACCCATATGATTGGAGCTATAGATAAATAAGCTACTGCATTTTAAGCATTTTAGTAACACTGTGTTTTTTAAATGGTTTTGAAGCAGGAAGCCTGGTTCCAGACTGAACATGATAATTGATGTAACGGGTGCAGGATCATACCATGGTTTCCTTCCTGTGTTGGTTCGCACTTGTATCATGACACTGACATCTACACACTCAGATACAAGCAGTGGTCAATTTCCATTACCCCTAGCCACTGCCCTATTCAGTTTTCTTTACCATCTGGCTAGTTATGAAGCTGGTGGAGAAGCACTTGTCAGCTGTGGCATGATGGAAAGTCTGCTACGAGTTATTAACTGGCCTGGCACAGAGTTGGAACATGTTACGGTTAGTATTGCTTAAGTTTATTTCCCTAGAAACATATGAACCTCACAGATCTATACTGGAGCATCATGTTATGGCATTCATAAGCAGTATATGGAGTACAGTCATACACATTAGTAAAATAGGCATGCGGTAGCATAGTTGATCGAGGCACTGTGTTACAGGCCAGAATGTTGTGGGCTGGAGTCCTGTTGAGGTGGATTTTTTCAATTTACTAAATCCTTCCAGCCTCACTGTTGCCCCGGGGTTGAGTCAGCCTCTAACAGAAATGAGTACTGGGAATCTTCCTGGGTAGTAAAGGGCAGCTGGAGCATAAGGCTGACAATCTTAGCACCATCTGTGAGCCAATTGTTTAGAGAAAATATGAAACCCTTGACGTCTGACAACCCTTTGGGCCTTCACGGCATGTTATAGGGACAGCTTTACCTTACCTTTACAGCGTTATTGTAGATTAATTGCATACAACTTCACTTTTAATAACTTTTCAACTATGTGTTTTTACCAATATATTAGACATCTTTAGGACTTAAGTACACACCAGAGCAGTACTTAACTGCTGGCCTTCCAGCCAGCATTATATTCTTGGCTTCAAGCCCTGCTGTGATCATATTTTAATCTTTTGTTACTGGCATATACAGTTAGAATGCTGGGCATCCTCTTTGATAAGAATAGGAGTCCATCATTGAAAGTGGTTTTCACTTTTACTGCACTATACCATATCAAAACACAGTCACATTGTGATGAAAACAATCCATATTCATGCTTTCTCTCTGCCAGAAATTGTTACCATATGACCATAATCTTTGGTGAGTGATGTGACATGATGAATTTGTTCTTAAGCCATGCTGCTTATGGCATTGTAATTGTTTCAGTACTTGGCTGAGGTTCTTTCAGCGTTTTGTTTTGTTTCATTAATTAGTTCACACATTGGTTGATATGTAATTGTATTTGTAGGATTTGAGGTTCTCACAGTAGTGGTTATGAAAAATTCTGTCTTCTGGGATGTAATTTTGTGAAGTAGGTGGCAGCAACTGCCCTCCACTTGCTTCATGCTGGTTTCTTGATTGTGTTATTATTTGGTCCTGAAGGTGGAGTCAACGTTTTCCTCTGGAACTTTTGTTTACTTTCAACGGACTGTGTGGTATTATATCCCAGAAGATAGAACTCTCCATAACCATCACTTGAGAACCTCAAATCGTACATCATGTTGAATATTTGTTGCTTGGGTATAATTAGTTCTGTAATTATACAGAACTTTTTTCATACCCTCTTTTGTGTAATTTTGCAGTTTGTGACCCGAGCTGTGAGGGTAATTGACCTCATAACAAATATTGACATGCAGGCATTCCAAATGCATGGGGGATTGACAAGTTTTATCACTCGTTTGGAGGTGAGTGTGAAGTAAATTTAGTTCTCGTTTATGTTGTATAGTAATGCCAGCAGTCTCAGAGAGTAATTTGTTTCTGTTAATGCAGATGGAAGTGAGTGTATGCAGGAAGGATCAGCCATTTGAGATAACATTCCCAAATTCTCAGCCGGAAGTCCAAGAGCCACCAGGACAGAATGCTGTAGCACAGTCTCAGAGCTCGGGTGACAGTTCGCAGCATGTAGCTGTGCCTTCTGAGGACAGTATTCTGAGTGGTAGTGAACAGAGTGCAGATAGACTAAATGTGAGCACAGTGCAGTCCCCAATGGAAGTGACACTTACCCTTTCGCAAGAATCAACTAGTTCCCAGACATCACATACTCCACCGCAGCCTCCTCAGGCAACATCATCAGTTACCAGTATGTCCAGTGAAACTGCTCTGACAGCATCACATGTGGCAAGTTGTTCAAAGTCTAGTAATATCCTGCCTGATTACAGTGCTGCCAGGACAGGAAAGACTTGTTTACCACAAAGGGCTGCTTTGCTCAAATCAATGTTGAACTTCTTAAAAAAAGCAATTCAGGACCCGGCATTTTCAGACAGCATTCGTCATGTGATGGAAGGTTCACTTCCATCTTCTTTGAAACACATTATTAGTAATGCTGAGTACTATGGACCTTCTCTGTTTCTGTTGGCCACTGATGTGGTTACTGTGTATGTGTTCCAAGAGCCATCCCTGCTTTCTTCGCTACAGGATAATGGCCTTACTGATGTGGTGCTTCATGCTCTTCTTGTGAAGGATGTAAGTAGAATACATGTATGCAAATTACTTTCACGAGCATAATGTTCATTATGTCGGTAGTTTTCACAGTGGTGATTTATTATCAGGTACCTGCAACACGAGAAATATTGGGATCACTGCCAAATGTGTTCAGCGCCCTTTGCTTGAACACCCGTGGTCTTAGCTCCTTTGTGCGATGTGATCCATTTGATAGACTCTTCAAAGTCCTCCTCTCTCCTGTATATCTGGCTGCAATGAGGCGACGACGAAGTTCTGACCCGATGGGTGACACAGCTTCCAACCTTGGCAATGCAATGGATGAATTAATGAGACATCAGCCAAGCTTGAAAGTGGATGCAACATTTGCAATAATCAAGGTGAGTGTTATAATATTTTTTCATCCATTAGGTGAATTTGTTTCAATTGTTGCTTTTCACAGCATATTTCTGTTCATGTTGTGACTGTCAGTGGACAGTTGTATGTCATGGCTAATGCATTTTATTTGTAATAGGTAGATACATATTTTGAATTCTTACCCAGGGCATCAGCAATCCTGACTAAGGTTTTTCATAGTACTTCACAATTCATGCATGCTAATGCAGAGCTGCAGATTGGTGCACATAATGTCTTAAGTTACTAATTCCATGGAACAGATTCCTGCATGAAAAGTTCAGCTATTCAGGACATTCCCTGCTTTTTACTGAAAGTGCATTACTATATTCGCAAGATCCCACCACTTATCTCTATCCTGAACCAGATAAAATTCATATCACACTTTTCCCATCCTCTCGGCATTTTATGGAACCTGAAGGTTCATTACCGTGTTCACAAGAGCCCTCCAATGGTCCATATCCTGAACCAGATCAATCCAATCTGTACTATCCCATCCTCTCTCTATGATCCACTTTAATATTGTCCACCCGCCTACGTCTTCGTTTTCCTAGTTGCTAACCATGGAGGTTATTCTGCTTCGGTGGTAACATCATCATGGGATGGCAGCTGGCTTGCAAGTCACTCTTTACTCATACTATAGTCTCAACTAACTCTTGACAGTCTGGTGTCCTCATTATATAGCCTAGGGTTGGGCTGCATAGGGAACATATCTTCCAACAGTTCTTCTGTTGTTGTGTATATATTTGTTGCTGTGGAAACATGTTTACCCAGCTGTTACTGTGCAATGGACGCTGTAATCACAATATTATGAAAGGATAAGGAAAAATCTGACTGTTATAGGGGTTGGATAAAAAGTACTGGCAACACTGCTGTAACATGAAAGATGTGCGTCAGGTGGCACTAGCGCCGTCTGTAGCTGATAGCAGAAGCTCAGTTGAAGTAGTACAGTGAGTGGCTCTGGTTGTGTTTCATTGAGTTGCATTATGCATCGTCTTGAAATGCAGGAGCCCGGTTCAAGCACCCTAACAACATGTTTATGAAACAAGAACAACCCTCCTGGATAAAAATTTAAGTAGCATGAGGTTGTTGTGCACAAAACTGTTATCGGGGACTGTGAGAACAATGGGGTGATGGGTGAAATTGTTCCGTGAAGGGAGGGATGCCATTCAGGACAGCTGTCGTTCAGGACGACCCCATGTTGACAACCACACAATTCACCTTGTTGCATCTTTGTTGGATGTCCGTCGATGGGCTGCATGGGAGTTAGCTGCTGAGGTAGGCGTATGTCACAAAACCTTGCTCCACATTCTGCGTGATATTCTTGGATACCGCAAAATTGCAGAACTTTTGGTACCCCATACAATGTCCGAGGTGCAACAATAGCAGCGTTATGCAATTGTACAGGACGTGTTGGACCGGTACCAGAAGGAAGGTCACGACTTCCTTGGAAGGATCGTCGCTCTGGATGAAACTTAGGCTCACTCATATGAACCACACTTGAAGCGACAATCAAATGAATGGAAGCATCCTGGCTCTCCTCGTCCAAAGAAAGTGCGCCCTACACAGAGTAATGTGAAGGCGATTTTCACTGTGGCATATGACAGTGATGGAGTGATATTGCATCACACTGTACCTCGATGACCGACACTAAACGCTGCCTACTACTGCAATTTCTTGCGTAATCGTCTTCGTCCAGCACTCAGGAGAAAGCGATGACACTTGTTGGCAACGAACGCTATCATCCTTCATGGCAATGCAAGGGCTCATACTGCTGACGCTGTCAAGGATCTCCATCACTGCTGGCGATGGCAGATACTGCAACATCTGCCATACTCACCCAGTATGAGTCTGAGCGATTATGATCTCTGCCAAAATAAAGGAACCACTGTGAGGGACATGTTACAACACAAGAGAGTAGATTATTCATGCTGTAGAGCAGTCACTGCTGGACATCAACAGAAGTTGAAGCACTGTTGGTGTATGATGCCTTCCGCAAATTTGGCAGAAGGTGGTACACATGGGGGGCGATTATATTGAAGGAATGTGTTTACCTCAGGTCATAAAGTCATTTCAGAACTATAAAGGTGTTGCCACTATTTTTTATCCAACCTATGTATATAATTAAAATAATGTTGCATTCAATAGATGAAGCTCTCTTTAATTGTTAAATGAATATAACTCTGAATTTCATTTATCCTCTGAAGTTTGCAGTTTTTGTTGCATTCTTCTGATAAAATTTCAGCACCTGTAAGGTGGAAATTTAATACTACCCCTCCTTTGATTCCTAGCGAGAACTGCTTCTTTGAACTCCTGTTACCTAGCCATGTCGCACTACAGGTTCATGCTCAATGTTGCTGCTACTGGGTTGGCAATTAATGCTTCATGTTTTATTCGCATTGAAACTGTGTCATACGCAGCTAATATGTTCCTTGCACTTATCTGTTTGGAACTTCGAAGGAATCCACACGTGATCATGATATATAAACCAAGCAAGACAGAAGCCATCTATTTGGTTAATTTGAAAAGACCTATTCTGTCACGTACATGAGACGTTACACCTATGATTGTGCAAAATATTCCAGCCAAGAGTCCTGCTTAAAAATGAAGCTTAAACCGTTGAACCACGTTCAAAGAAAGGAGACCTATAGGTTTTATACATTAAACATTTTTTGGGCATAAAATATTGACCTTTAAAAGCTTTGAAAAGACAGCAGTAGAATACATGGTACAATCCAAAAGTTCCCGAAATATATTAATACAAACTATTACATCTTACCTAGATCTTATTCTGCACAATCACCTTCAAAGTAGTCCCCTTGGGAGCGCATACACCGATCCCAGCGTTTCTGCCACTTTTCAAATGCATCCTGGAAGTCTTTCTTTGTTAGGGTGTTTAGTACCATCTGCATTTCCACTTGAATTTCCTCAACTGTATCAAATCTTCGCCCCTTCAACTTGATTTTCAACTTGGGGAAGAGAAAGAAGTCGCATGGAGCTAAGTCTGGCGAGTACGGTGGATGGGGAACAACTGCCATCTTGTTTTTAGCCAAAAATTCCTGCACAATGTAAGCCGTATGCGGTTGTGTGTTGTCATGGTGGAGTACCCAGTCGTTCGTGCGCCACTTCTCTGGACGTTTTCTCCTCATGTCCTCCCTCAAACACCTTAGAACATTGCGATAGAACTCTTTATTGACTGTCTGACCAGGAGGGACAAACTCCCTATGAACAATCCCATCAATATAAAAAAACAGATCAACATGGACTTAATGTTGCTCCTGATTTGTCGAGCTTATTTTGGCCGAGGTGAAGAAGGGCTCTTCCATTGTGACGATTGCTGCTTCCTTTCAGGGTTGTAGCCATAAACCCAACTTTCGTCACCAGTGACAACCTTCGAAAGAAAGTTTGGATCCTCTTGAAGCTGTTGCTGAAGTTCCCTGCAGACTTCCAAGCGATGCTGCTTCTGTTCATTTTGCAGCAGTCGTGGCACAAACTTCGCCGCAATCCTCCTTATGTTCAGTTCCTCTGACAAAATTCGTTGACATGTACCATAACTTAGCCCCAGGGTGTTACAGAGGTCTTGGATGGTCTGTCTACGATGTTGCAGAATCAGATCCCTAACTTTCGCGATATTTTCTGGTGTTTTGCCCGTTGACGGCTGTCCCGAACGATTGTCATCATCAGTCAATGTTCGGCCATTTTTAAAACGCTTATACCAGTTGTAAGTTTGTGTCTGGCCTAAACTATTTTCACCAGAAGCTTGCTTCAGCGTTTGGTGCGTTTCTGCAGCGGTTTTCCCAAGTTTAAAACAAAACTTTATACAGACGCTCTGCTCTCTCAGGTCAGCCATCACAAAACCGCAAACTCACAGAAACACAACAATGGAAATAACGTTCACCAACAATAAACCCAAGCACTCAACACGACACCGCTTGCCACACTGATTCAAGAAGGATGTGTGAGGAGACCCCTAGTGGTATTTCGATGTACTCATAACCATTCGTGCACAAAATTCAAATTTCGGTCACTTTTGGATTGTCCCACATATAAATATAAATTCAGCAAGTGCAGGAGATTAAAATTCAGGAAGGTAAAATTTCCTTGTCAGTAAGAACCTAATAACAGATAAACATATACCAGTAATTATTAATTGAAGTAAAATGAAAATCAGTATAGTTCTAAAATTAACTCAAAATGTTCTCATATAATCTTAAATTGGATGGAATTGTAATTTGCCAGCTTCTTTCTCAATGATAGGAGTTGAAATATACATCAAAGTTTGGTTGACTAATTGGAATAGCTACCAAGAGACATGTGGTCTGATTCCTTGTACAGTGGAACCTCACTTAACGAGCATAATTTGTTCCAGAATCTTACATGTAATGCGAAACACTCGTTAAGCAAAACAATTTTTCCCATATAAATTAATGTAAAATACAATAATGTGTTCCATGCTGAAAAAATACTCAAAATATTTCAGTATAACGTTTATTCGAAGAAAATTATATGTACATTGTTAAGGAGCGTGAATCATCTTCATCTTTTCTTCTATGCAGAATGAACCAACTTGGAATGCGAATTCGATTTGCAGAAAACAAAAAAAAAATCGAAATAATTAGTTTATTATTTATGATACATATCTAATTCTTTTTTACTAGAAAGCTGTCTAGAGACATTTGTTTTTGCTGACGCTTCAAAATTTGGTGAAAATGTGACACAGCATTATCATTAAATAAATTTGTAGGCTGCATAGCCACTGCCTTATTAGGGTGATGCTTCTCAATGTACTGTGCAACAGTTTCACGTGCTTTCAGCATTTCTCTTATTGCACCAGAAGATTGTTCCTTTGCTGTTACCTCCACTGACAAACTCTCCTCCACAACTTCTTGTGTGAAACACAATGCAACTCCAAATCGTGCAAATCGTTGATGTAGACCAATTGTATGTGCATGTTAGATCAGCCATGCTCACACCTAGTTCTCCCTTTTCAATGACTACTTTTCATTTCTACAGTTATTTTTATTCTCTTGTGGCTGTCTTTTTGTGGCTTTTTCTTCGGGGACATTTTTGTAAGGGTTATTAAACTTTGCACAGAAAAATCACAAATAATATGTCTGAACACAAGTTTGGAAAAATGTGTGATCACAAGCGAGACTAAGATGCTAGCGGAACGAGTGCTAAACACAGACTGATGTAGCAAGCGCACAATCCGGGACTTCCCCTCTCGTCACTCGTTATGCGAAACGTCGCTCGTTAAGTGAGTCATTTTTTTACAATTTGTTTTGCTTGTTACGCGAATTACTCGTTATGAGAGGTGCTCGTTAAGTGAGGTTCCACTTTATTTCCTGTAGATGTTACATTCAGTTTGCAAAACCTTAGCTTCTAACATACATATTGAGCTAATTTTGATTTTTCACACAGACCTTGTTATATGTGTATTCCTTAATGCATACTTCCAAAGGTCTTCTGTTTTGCTGATGTGACATCTGTCACAATCACAAGGAATGCTGTACTTGCATTGAAGTGAAGTGATGTGCGTGTCCCATAAGCATCAGATCATGTAGAATAATTTGTCTTAAGACCTTGCAGGCAATTGGGTATTCTCTCCTGATTCACTAACTTGTGGAAGCCTATTGAATCACTTTCAGGGCTGAAGAGTGACATTCATATAGTTATATTCTTTGTAGAGTAGATTCCTGTTGGATTTTGTGTTTACAACATTTATCTGAATACACTTGTAAATAATGGGTGTTTTGTTCAGCTTATGGCATGGAATATTTACAGTAATTGACGAATAATTTTTAAATAATTTTACAATGACATAATGGCAAGCAATGCAATAGATTAACGTAAATGGAGCACCTGATGATGGCGCTATGTTGACAAAACATGTTGTGAAATAACAGGTGAAGTTGAGTGCACTACAAGACGGACACGGCATACATATCATGGACCTCTTTTTTGCTCTCACTCTAGCAACTCCCAGACAGGACTGAACAGGTTCCAACCCGAACAGGAGGAAGGGTGGAGGTTGTGGCTTCTCTCTCAAGGTCGCACAGCTGCTGCTCAGTGCGGCTTGTTTAAACACAAATCAGTCCCAGTCATATTTGAACCACCTTGTATGTTGGAATGGAAAAGAATGAAATTTGCTGAAGATAGGCAGAAAACAAACTTTATTTCCCAATATAATTTTTCATTTCAGTTGCTAGAAGAACTATGTGTTCTTGGCCGTGACCCCAAGTATATTTGTTGGAGAGCCCAAAATAAGATGGATGTGTCTCCTGTCCCTGCACCACGCCCCACTGGAAACAATGAAGGTGGAAGCAGTGATGAGGAAGATGAAGATGAGGAGGAAGCTTCCACTTCCTCACATCCTCAGCGTGAGGATGCTGCTTCTGATTCCTCTGCTTTGCATGAAAAGACACCTATTGCTCTGATAGACTACATTTTGAATGTGGTAAGTTGTTCTGTGTATTGAATACCTGTATAATGTATGAGTGTATATATTGTACTTATGTATAAATTAACCCCCAGAAATTGGTTTACTTGTGTTAGATAGTCCCCATGCACGTCTGTGTAGAAATGATTACATTCCTGAAATAGCTGTCAATCTATATTAATCTTTTCTCGTTTTAAGTATGAAGATATTTTTCTGTCGATGGCAGTATCATCCTGAGCCGTGTCCAAAAATGAATGAAAAATTTTACTACAGGGAAACCTTCACTTTTCATTTTTGAAGGAACCACGTAAAATAAACATAAAGTCAAAGGAACTGTAAAATTGAAGAAATAAAAATGATGTAACATAAAGAAAAATGTGGTTTGTTTTACAACAGCCTAACCAGCCATTTAAAATATGCATGTTTGAACACAGTTACAATGCAAATGAAAATACACTTACTTTTGATGTCTGACAATAAAGTTCGCGAACTTGCCACTGTGTGCTGGTTGTGGCAGCAGTGGACAGAAACCTCAGTATGGTTTGATGACAGTGGCGTCTCAGCCTTTCACAGCTATATCGTTCTTGCTCTATGGCAGTGTCTTTCTGAGTGGTGTCTGTCAGGAGCATAGCAGAGCAAGTGAACGTGGACAGAGAAATAGTTACGAAAATCTTAACTGAAGATCTTGACATTAGGAAGGTGTGTGCAGAAATGTTCCCAAAGGAGCTCACCAAAGAACAGAAGTAAAAAGGAGTCAATATTTGCCAAGACCTTTTGGAGAGGCAAGATGACATTTTGGGCCACGTCATCACAGCTGGTGAAACATGGGTCTACCAATATGATCAAAGAACGAAGCAGCAAAGTGCACATTGGAAGACTGCAAATTCTCCACAACCAAAAAGTTTTGTCAGTCCAAATCAAGAGTCAAAACAATGTTGCTAACTTTCTTTTGGTATTAGAGGGGTCGTTCATTAAGAGTTTGTACCCACTGGACAGTCAACCAAGTTTACTATTTGGAAGTACTAAAAAGGCTGCCTGAAAGTGTTAGACAGAAGTGAACTGAACTTTGTGCCAACAACTCTTGGATCTTGCATCATGACAATGCATCTACTCACATGACACTGTCTGTGAGAGAGTTTTTAGCTAGTAAACAAATAACTCTGCTGAAACACCCTCTCTGTTCACCAGATCTAGCTCCCAGTAACTTTTTTCTATTCCTGAAGATAAAGGAAATATTTAAAGGAAAACATTTTGATGATATTTGTATCAGAAGTAATACAATTGCAGCTCTGAAGGCGATTCCATAAAATCAGTTCCAAATTTGTTTTGAAGGGTGTACTAGGTGCTGGCATCGGTGCATGGCTTCCAAAGGGGAGTACTTTGAAGGTGACCACAGTGGTATTCAGCAATGATGTATGTAGCACTTTTTATTGCAGTGAGTTTGTGAACTTTATTGTTAGACCATGTACATACATGGTTGGACAAAATAATGGAAACACTACAGATACTGTGCATTTCTTTATTAATATGGTGTTGGACCACATTTTGCTTTCAGTACGGTCCCAGCCCTTCTTGGATTGGAATTGTACAAGTTATGAACAGTTTGTGGTGGAATTTTATACCATTCTTCTAAAAGAATGCTTCAAGTTGCTTTAGAGATGTTGGGGATAGAATCAGTTCCTCACTCTAGTCTCCAAAACCGACCAGAGTGGTTCAGGTGGTGAATGTGTTGGCCAGGAAGGATGATGAAATTTACCTTCCTGCTCATCAAACCATGACTGAACAGTTGCAGCTATGTGAATGGGGGAATTATTGTCTTGGAAAACTGGATCAAGGGAGGCACATGCTTACTCAATCTGCCCACATACTCCCTTGCAGTAATTCGGACATGAGGGGTAATAATGGGATCAACAGAATACCACAATACTGCTGTGCAGACCATCACAAAACCTTCCCCTTGTTCCATTGTTGGAATGAGACATTCCAGATTGTAGGCTTTCTTGGGTGTTCTCAAAACATAAACTTTCTGATGTAGGGAACAGCATGAAGGATGACTCATCTCATCTGACCGTATGATGTGTTTCCAGTTGTCTTATGTCCAGGTTTTATGGTCATGACACCATCGCTTATGCATCTGAGCATTACTTTCAGTAATCAGAGGTTTTGCAGTTATAGCCCTATTGTGGATGTTGGATAGTTTTTGTGGATACAGTCTTCAAGATGAATATTCAGTTCTGCTGCCAGATGTGCTGCAGCAGTTCAGTGTAAACATACCTTGTTAGTGTATCATGATCTCGTTCAATCAATGTTGATTTTTGCCCACGATTCCTCTTCGCTGATGTTGTCTTCCCATGATTCGTGTATGCCACCAACAAGGCCTCAGAAACTGTTGCTTTTGATACACCTAATAACGTGGCAGTTTTTATTATAGATGCTCCAGCTTAATGCCCATCAACAAACTGTCCTTTTTCAAAACCTGACAAGTCTGCCATTTTCCAATTCTTTCATGCGGACTGTCACTCAACGCAATCACTAATGCACTGGCAAGAGCACTACAGAATGGAAACAGCCATGAAGAACATTCAATGTTGTCATGAAGTTCTTTTCAATATAGTCAACACAAACAAACTCTGTTCCTCAATTTGTTTGTTTCCATTATTATATTCATCTCTGTGTATCTAGTAAGTGTTCCATTATGTTCATCAACTTGCACTGTAACACAAGTTACGTAATTTTTGTAAATGCTTTCCATTTTGCTTTTTTATCCATATTTTAGGCCAGAGCAATCAGTGAACTGGATTGCTACGTTTATATGTAACATCTAGCATTTTGTAGGTATCAGAAGCCAGCTTCCTACTGAAATGCTTATAGCTATCCAAGGAAAATGGCAAGCTTGAAAGTGTGTTTGTGTTGCAGTTGGATGAGCTCATTCATGTGAAATTAAAAAATGTTCATGTTAAAAGATATGTGCATATTACATGAACAGGGTTTGAACATAAGCAGAATGGCACCAGTGTTCTTTTTTTAATTTTATGAAATAGAACATTTAAATATACAGCTTGCTAAATTTCCATTGTCAAAATTAAGAAAGTGATGTGAGAATTCAAAGAAGTGTAAATTTGAGATGTGAAATCGGTTAAAATTTAACATTGCTCTTAGAGGCCTTTGGCCTGGACCAGTGGAAAGGTGAATACATTCAGAAAAATATAAAATTGGAGAATGCAGAATTGAAAGGTTCACTGTAATTAATGTGAAAGGATAATAAAATATACAGTGCTATGACTCAGTACACATAACTAAGCTGGCTGGCTGGCTGGCTGGCTGGCTGACTGACTGACTGCATGCATGGAGCTGGCACATTGGTGTGAAATTTTGTTCTTAATTTTAGATGAAGTTTGTGGATGCAATCCTGAGTAACAACTCAACAGATGATCACTGTCGGGAATTTGTTGCTCAAGATGGACTAGTTCCACTGTTGTCAATTCTTGGACTACCAAATCTGCCAGTTGATTATCCTGTCACAACTGCTGCACAGGCTGTTGCATCTGTTTGTAAGTCAATCCTGGTGAGTGCAGGTTTAATGATGATGATACTTGAATTGGTACATTTATTTTTAATATTTTGCAGTCTAATTTACCCCAAGGGTAAAGCGGCCGGAGCTTGAAGCTTACCGCTCACTTCCAGCTAGTGCCTAGGTCAAGAAAATGTGGATCCCTACATCCACTCTCCCATATGCTTTGAAGGCATAGTGCTTGATTAGTTAAGCACAGGGACAACCTTACCTTTACCTGGTGATAGTAGTTTTGTGATGCTGAAACACATGAACAGGCAAGTGAATGTAAAGTAACAGTGAAGAATAATCACGCAATCACTGAACATCAGTGAAAGTTTCAAGAAAAGAATTTTAAATAATTAAATAATTTTTATGTTTCCTGACCATTGCAAAAGAAGTTGAATGGCCCTGTATTTTTCAGAATCTTGCACACGAGCCTCAGGTATTGAAGGAAGGGCTTCTTCAGTTGAACAGTGTACTTGAGCGGCTGCAGCCTCTTCACAGCCCTGTGAAGGCTCCTGGCAGCTCAGTGTTGTTACATGAGCTGGCATCAGCTCCTAACCTTGATACAGCGTTCTCATCAGCTGCTGCTACTCCTCTGCTCCATGCAATGGGTGCAGCTCATGGTTATGTTGTTATGTTTGTCCACGTTTGTCGTACGGGGCAGGTTAGTGTTGCACTGTTAAAATTATTGGGAAATAAGTTATTTTAGAGATCAGTTTATCATCACTACTGAATTTAATGTAAGGATTCAGGTGATCTTAATATTTTCAATGTTCAGTTCCAGGATTTTATCTGCACAAATATCATTATGCATACACAAATCTGAGACTTTCCTTGTCACATCTGAGAATGAAAGCATAACTTGCTTGGTTCAAATCTTGGCTGGGACATTGGCTCTGATAGCTGAAGCTTTTCATGGTTTTCCTCAGTCCTACTGAACAGATGCTGAAATAAGATCTCAGGGTAGAGCTACTTCCCACCAAATTCTTTTCAGTGCATCACCCATCTTACAGAGCATAACAGCATCATTAAATAATCTACATGGAAGCCAGAACTCCCCTGTCTCTTATTTGCAAAGCTTTTCTTCTGTTTCAGGGTATTCTACTTTCTTATTGCAAAATACACAACCAGGATAGCTCTGTTGGTATAGCATCTAGTCTGTGGATATGCTGGACAGTCAAGGAATTAGGGTTCAATTCATGGCAGGGCAAGAGATTTTTCTCTTCTCCATACCTTCCAGACTGGCTCTGGGGCCCACCAAACCACCTCTTCAGTGGATATGGAGGGCTGTTTTGCCTGGGGCATTAAGGACATGAAGCTGACTAATGCACTCTAATGGTTGATTTCAGAGTGATATCCGGACACTATCCATGACACATTGGGGCTCAGAGTTGGGACTCAGTGTTCTTAATGGTTTGGCTGAGTTGTATACATCATTAGTATGGGAAAGCACCCTCTTACTGGCCCTTTGCAGTGATGATATCATTCCTCCAGGTTGCAAATTTGGCAGAGAGGACATGGAAAAGCTCCTCCCTTTGGAAATGAGGGTGAGTATATATTGATATGTAAGATATTCTTAGATTCATAGCTGCTTGATAAAGAATCTGTCCATGTAGCAGGGTTTACTAAACTTTTGTATTTATTTATTTATTTTTTTTCATGTTTGAAGAGACTACTGATATTCTATAAATTAGTGGTGCGAAAACTGTGACCCCTGAGGTAGAATTTTGTTCCACAATTTTTATCAGTCCCTAAATGGACAGTTGTTTCTGTGATTCAAGGTGAAACATCAGCTATACAAACAATTCTGTATGTGAATAAAATATTTATTGGGCTATCAGCCTTTTTGTTTCTTAAGAATTTTGAGTTTAATTTGCTTCATGTGTTGCTCTATTATTGCAGTTTGATATGAGTCAGTGCAGTTATTCTCACATGTATGCATATGTAGCAAATTATGAACAGACTGTGGGTGGTATTTGTGAGTGCACAGAAAATTGTGGGCATGATTTTAACTCAAAGAATGGCACCTAGTTAGCAGTTGGTTCCTTGTTTAACAGGTTATATAAATTTAAGAACATGTTTAATTAACTCTTTGCTTCAGATATTTCTAATGATGATGAGAGCATTAAATTATTATTTATTAGTTTCATATCCCTGTGATAAGCACTTCAAACAAAAAGTATTTCCCCACGTGCATTATTATTCAAACCTTTACACATTTTAAACATTTTTTAATATTCTGAGTATGTGTTTGAATAAGCATTTTTCTTTAATTTTTGACAAATTCTCAAAATGTTGAGGTTGTACTTCATCTTTTGGGATGTTATACAGTGTACTTTTGCAGCATTTTACCACCAGTATCAGTAAAATCTGAAACCCCCTCCCCAAACCTTTGTCTGAGGAATGGATTGACCTTAGTAGGTACCTAAGCATGGATACTTGGAGGCCTAAAAATGATATATTTCTGTCTGTTATTGGCCAGGCCAACTGCATTACTCACACCTTACTTCCTTTATAATCATGGCATTAAATATTTACATGATGTTGTTATTTAGCATCCTGTTGCACTGATTTTTGTCCATGATATGTTTGCAGTGTCCGTCTTGTAGTGCACTCAATTTCACCTGTTATTTCACGACATGTTTCGGCAACATTGTGCCATCATCAGGTGCTCCATTTACGCTAATCTGTTGCATTGCTTGCCATTATATGTCATTGTAAAATTATTTAAAATGTATTGACAAACATTTTTAAATACATTTTAAATAATTTTACAGCCACATAATGGCAAACAATGCAATAGATTAGCGTAAATGGAGCACCTGATGATGGCACTATGTTGCCGAAACATGTCGTGAAATAACAGGTGAAATTGAGTGCACTACAAGATGGACACTGTATTTACATGATGCTGAAACATATAATAATTGAGTTTATGACACTTGAGAATTGGCTTCTTTTCATGTATCTGTTTTGTACATGCACAGAAAAGATATGTACTCTGTTTCTGCATATTGTTTGCTTTACTTATAGGGTGTAGATCATTGGGCCTGGACATCCTAGCCCATAGGTAACCTAGTGAGAATGTAACAGACTTTGAAGTGAAATGCATGGTGATGAAGCTAGAACCCATGTAAAAAGGTCCTCTGTAAACTTCCTGAAACCCAAGTAACTTCTGTACACATTTTGTAAAGCCTGTTTATGTTGTACATACATCATTTGGGTTATAACAGCCAGTGGGAAGAAGCCTTAGTTTTGGAGCTGAAAAATGGATGGGATGTGAATATTAAATTTAATTTCATGTGAGTGGTTCATAGAGATGGGAACTGAATTGAACTAGCTGAAAAAATGAAATTTTTGTATTCTCATAGTGGTCAATATCAAAGTGACAGTCTTGGGATGTGACACTGTGAAGTCTGGTATCCTGAAGATGGAGGCATCAGGGTCCTCAGAAACAGTGGTACCCACATACTGGATGACACAGCATCATATCACAAAAGACTGTAATCTTAAGCCTTCTCAAGAATTTTTTTTGTATGTAAGCAGTATATTTTTTGTGAAAAGTTTGTTGCATTAAAATGTGCATAAAACAAGTCAAAATGAAGTCACATATGAAGACCGAATTTCAGCTTGTAGATGTTCCTTTTAAATGTAAAAAGTTGTGTGATCTCTTGATGCTAAAATTTATAAAGTGAATTTCCTCTTGGCAAAAACTGCATACATCTCCCTGCACTTCTCATTGAGCTTATTACACTACATCAGTTTGTCACTGTCAGCAAATTATTCTGATTTTTACACATGTGAAAGTAAGTTTTCAGATAACATACACAGTTCAGGAGGGAATTCTGGACTGTTTGCTACATGCAGTGAAAATAAATGTGTGTGCATTGTATCATGTGGCACTATTCTGGTATATATTTACAAACTCAGGTTGATATCTTTTGGGTTGTCACTCTGTTTAATCCTGTAGATGGGTACTGAATAGCTCTCTTGGGTGTCTTACAGAAGTAGGCTGCCACTTTCCAAAATTCCTTCACCTTTTAAGATCTGAAAGTTTTGTTGTGGCTAAAGTTGATAAAATCTTCTTGGGCTATCAGCCATGTTAGTTTGATAAATATTTACCAGCGATTCAGAGACAGTCAGGATCTGACATCATACCCTGATGATATCAGAGATGGCCCCTGAAATGTTGGTAATTCTTAACCAGCTTACTCAGCTGATGGCACAAGATTTCTTCACTTTGCACACAACACAGGTGACATACCCCTTTTCCTTCTTGTCTACAAAGTGAGGCTCACCATATAGCATTTTATGACTCCAGGGTCCAGATGAATAACCTTCTTCCAGTTACTGCTTACCATAGTCATTCTTATTTTGCCATGGCTTCTGCTTCTGTCACTCTCACTGATCTCATATTCATTTATAATGTAACTGCTGTCAGTACAGTATGTTGTCATGGTTAATATGTAAGATGTATGATATTTCCTTGATATGTATCATTCATGCCATGGTGAGTAAATATATAAATAAACTGAACGAATAGCAACCCCATAACATATCAGAATACCAACTCTTGTGCTGGGGAACAGCTGTTCGCTCTGTAGAACCACAAGGACTTCCCCAGATCATTACTTCCACAACTTCTAATCATTTCTTACAGTAGAGCATATAGTAAAGTAAAGCTTATTATTGGTTTCCACTCGAGAGATTTAATGGCTAAGAATATTTTGTGATGACTTTTTCTTATAGTTTATTAAGATGGTCATGGACTGTCAGAACAAACTAGAATTCCTTGAATTGTTTACCAGTTTGAGGAAGATATTGTACCAGAGAGTTAGTTGGTTTCACAAAGCTTGTTCTTTTCAGCGAATTTAATGGAATTCTCTGTTGTAGAGTGATTCACATCAGTTAGTCAATGCCATGGATGCTTCAACCTTGGAGACTGCAATGGAAGTGGACTCTGAAGTCAGTAATCGTATGCTTCCTACTGCTTTGCAGTTGAAGTATATCAAACCTTTACTTGGAGCATCATCAAGACTAGGAAGGGCCTTGGCAGAATTATTTGGGCTCCTAGTTAAGGTGAGTTCATAAAACTGCCCTCCTGCATGCTACAGTTGGTAGCCATTTTGTGTGTTGTGTATTGTCACAATTATATTGAATGCAGATGGGGTTTGGAATGATAACTGGAATTATTTGACACTTACAGATCATAACAACAAGTAACTGTAACAATCTTAACCAGTTTACCCACTTAAAAATTCACTACAGCACACATAAGTCTTCTCAGTCTTTACTATAAACTACCTTCTAACAGATCCCTCAACAGTGCAGATTCCTGAGCTTCACAACTGACCCAAGATGGTATCTCTGAGTGTCTCTTCACCTTCTAAACTGCAAGAAAGCTCATATTAGATCTCATTATATAGCCTCTGCATGGACCCAACAGACAACACTGCCTCCAACACTTCTTCTTTGTTGCTTGTGTGCTTGTATGGTGGTCACATGGTCTGGTTGCTGTGGAAGCATGTTTGCAGAGCTGCTACCTAGCAACATTTGTTTGTTGTGGCTCTGCAATTCTGATTTTGAGCAGACATGTCACAGTATTGATAGTACAGAATCCATCCATTCTTTCTGGGTTAATATTTGAAAACTTTGTCTCCTTTTCTGAACCTCAGCATTTTAGCATGTCCATTTGAATTTCTATAGGTGCTTGTACAGAGGAGCAACTTTCCATTTTACTTCTAACACTGCATGTTAAGTGCAGTTTGTAATGAGTATTCCATTCATTTATTTAATATGATAATCTTCTATCATCAGGCCATGTGATCCTGTCCTCAGTCATATGATGTTGGTGTGCAAGGGTTTGCATTCTTATTTGTCTTGGGACTACTATTGCATTATGGTATTGTTACATGAAATGACAGCACTGTTTAAGTTTTGGTAGGAAATGGATTCATTTGACACTAATTCCTGTATCTGTAGCTGCCTGCAGCAATTCACATGTGTTTACAGTCAGCCATTTAACTCTTCTTGCCTGCTTACTTTCCCCTTGCTCTTAATTGTTATCTTCTCCCCAAGGCGTTCCCTTGAGGTCCACATCTTCTTAGCTCCTTGTTGCACTGAGGTAGCGGGATTGAACACCCACAGAACCCGTACAGTGTGTTATGCTTCTTTATATTGTAGCTCTGCAGTGGCCTGCCTAAGTGATACTGTTCCCAGCATTACCTTGACTGTTTTGTGCATACCTGGCTCTGTAAGATTTATGCTTCTCATGCCTTGTAAATGGACATATCTGTGATATTCCTGTACTCCCACATTGGTAGTGATGCCTAAGTTTAGAGAAAATATTTTTAAATATGCTGAGATGTGTAATGAAGTATAAAGAGAAAGGAAGGGATTTAAGGATGGAATGAGTGAATGAATGTGTAGCTTTTACTATTGTGATGAGTTCTCCTTCACTAAGTGCTATAGCTCTTTCAGTTTCTCCTACCATGAAATGCTGTGAGGCAGAATTTTTCTATAGTAAAACATGAAATAGATTTTCTTCCATAATATGTATACAGTTGCCGTCTTGTAGTGCACTCAATTTCACCCGTTACTTTACGACATGTTTCGGCAACATAGTGCCATCATCAGGTACCCTAATTACGCTAATCTCAACATTATACAACATTATAAAATAGACGATAAAAACTATTAGAGAAAGAAAAATGGGATGTATATCTTTTCTCTATAATGATGTAAAGGAACTGCTATTGGTTGTGAGGTATGTTATTTGTATACTAAGTTGCTTTAGATTTTGGAGAATTCCAAATAATTGCAGTTTTGCTTGTAGCTTTGTGTTGGATCACCAATCCGAGCGCGAAGAGGTCAACAAGTGCCCAATACCCCAGCTCTTCCAACACCAGCTGCACGAGCAGTAGCTACTGCTCTGAACATTTTGTTAGCTAATGGCCTTAACTGGACCAGGCTACCCCACACAACAATTCCAAAATTCAAGTAAGCATGTGAGATTTGAGGATGTGACTGTGGTGACCATGAATGTTTTATTCTGGGATATGACACCATGTAGTTTGGTAGATGTTTAGAGATGTTTCATAGGAGTGTGCTGTCTTCATCTTCAGGTTTCTTCAGAATGTTAATAAACATCTACCAAGCTACATGGCATTGCATTCCAGAGGACACTATTCTTCAAATAAGTTTGAGTGTTGTAATTGGAAGTTACTGTGTCATTCTTCATCTCGGGAGGATTCTGCTATATATTATATATGAAGAAAATTGTGCTGCGAGTATGATCTATTAACAGGGAGTTTTTAAATCTCTTGGTAATATGGGATTGACAGTGAGATTTTAACTTTTGTGTAGTATATAATCGAGGAGTAGAAGAAGAAAGTTGTCTTCTGGGTTTAGGCACCGTGTATTCTTCGTTTTGGCCGACGTTTCGGAGGAACGTAGCGCCTCCATCTTCAGAGCAGTTGAATAGCTGCGGAGAGCAGTAGCTCTCGGCCAAAACGAAGAATACACGGTGCCTAAACCCAGAAGACAACTTTCTTCATTGTCATCGCCGTGAAAACCTCAAAACTTACAGAGGAGTAGAAGAGTTTAAATTTCCTGTTATTGTGGTATTGGCAGCAAGATATTAACTTTGGTGTAGTAATTTGGAAGTGAGAGCACCATTACCTTAACATTTAGATACAGCACATGGCCTACTTTATCATCTCTGATTCATTTGTGTTCCATGTTCCAAAGATGGACATTATTATTATTATTGTTGTTGTTGTTGTTGTTGTTGTTGTTAGTGGGGTGTGACTGAGTTCACTTGGTACTGTGGCCACTACTGGGCTAAGATGGACAGGATTTCTGAACAGAGCAGGTACTTAGTCCATAGAAGTTCATATGACTTCCCCACAGATCTAGTGAGTAGGGTATTTGAATGACAGATTTATCAAAGAAAAGAGATATATACCATATATCTTCTATTCCTGTAGGCTCTGGAATGGACCATATATATACCTTTGAGTCACAGAATTAGAATATCACATTCCAAACTGAAAATTTTAAGGTTTTTGCTAACAGATGCCCCTTCTCTTATGGCAGGAAACTTTCATAATATGTGGTGCAATCCAAAAGTTCCCAAAATTAGAATTTTGCGCGCTAATGTTATGGGTACATCGAAATACCTCTAGGTGTCTCCGCACAAACCCTTCTTGAATCAGCGTGGCAAGCGGCGTTGTGTTGAGTGCTTTGGTTTATTGTTGGTGAACATATATCCATTGTTGTGTTTCTGTGAGTTTGCGGTTTTGTGATGGCTGACCTGAGAGAGCAGGGTGTCTGTATAAAGTATTGTTTTAAACTTGGGAAAACTGCTGCAGAAATGCACCAAATGCTGAAGCAAGCTTTTGGTGACAACAGTGTAGGCCAGACACAAACTTACGACTGGTGTAATCATTTTAACACATTGCGGACCGGACGGGCCATATGGCCCTCTACGTTTCCAAGCGTTGCGGACTGGGCGGGCCATATGGCCCTCTACGGTCGCATTATGTTGCAAAACGCTATATATCGCTGTGTGGCTTCATTGAATCGT